GACCCTGTGAAATGGCCACATGTGCATAGTGCATTCTCTAATGTCACATCCTACAAAAGGGTGGGGAATTTTCTTCAGCTTGAGGCCACACTAGGGAATCTTCCAGGGGTCACATGCAGTGGTGGTGGGTGGGGCCAAAGTGGTTGAAACAACAGGCATGACTCTTACCTTGCACCATAGGCTATATCCCAGCTACATGAAACAGATGTTTGTACACACATACAAGCACATCTTTCCACCTTCCCTCAAAGCAACCAAGAGGAGTCATCCCAGTTCATGAACACAGACCAGCAGGAGAAAGCACTAGAGGAGGGTGCAGAGCAAAATGGTCAAAGGCCTGGAAACGATGCCTTATGAGGAACGGCTAAGGGAGCTGGGCATGTTTAGCCTGGAGAAGAGGAGGTTAAGGGGTGATATGATAGCCATGTTCAAATATATAAAAGGATGTCACATAGAGGAGGGAGAAAGGTTGTTTTCTGCTGCTCCAGAGAAGCGGACACGGAGCAATGGATCCAAACTACGAGAAAGAAGATTCCACCTAAACATTAGGAAGAACTTCCTGACAGTAAGAGCTGTTCGACAGTGGAATTTGCTGCCAAGGAGTGTGGTGGAGTCTCCTTCTTTGGAGGTCTTTAAGCAGAGGCTTGAAAACCATATGTCAGGAGTGCTCTGATGGTGTTTCCTGCTTGGCAGGGGGTTGGACTCGATGGCCCTTGTGGTCTCTTCCAACTCTATGATTCTATTATTCTAAGACTGATGAGGATTCAGAGGGCTCACCTGGACACCTGAGTAACTAGGAAACTTACCAGCAATAGGGCCACGGGTGGTGCTATGGTCTAAACCACTGAGCTTCTTGGGCTTGCCGATCAGAAGGTCAGTGGTTCAAATCCACATGACAGGGTGAGCTCCTGTTGCTCTGCCCTAGCTCCTGCCAACCTAGTAGTTCAAAAGCACGCCAGTGCAAGTAGATAAATAGGTACTGCTGTGGCGGGAAGGTTAAAGGCGTTTCTGTGTGCTCTGGTTTCCATCACGGCATTCCATTACGCCACATGACCCGGAAAGCTGTCTGTGGACAAACACCAGCTCCCTCAGCCTGAAAGCGAGATGAGCTGCGCAACTGCATAGTCGCCTTTGACTAGACTTAACTGTCCAGGGGCCCTTTACCTTTACCTTACCAGCAATAACACTAACAGGGCAACAACCAGGGCTTTTCTTCAGATGGAAATCATGGAACTCAGTTCCAGCACCTCTCAGGTGGGTGCCATTGCCATTATAAGGGAACAAGAGAGGCATTCATGGTGAGTGCTGTCATCTCTTTTTTCTAGAAAAATAACACTGGCAGCAGCCATAGCAGCATTCATGGCTGGCCCAAGATCAGAGTCCAAGGTAGCAGAAGCCACAGCAAAGGCTCGCCTTTAAATGAACCACATTTCTACTGCGTTTCCATACCCTCCAACATTTCCCCGATGAAAATAGGGACGTCCTGTTCCATAACACAAAAAAATGCTATTTATACCCCGCACATCTTACTGGACAGCTTACTGGACTGCCACTCTGGACAGCTTTCAACATATATAAAAAATGTAATAAAACATTTTTAAAAAACCTTCCCTATACAGGGCTGCCTTCAGACGGCTCGGGGGTCGGATAACTCCATACCCTCCAACATTTCTCCAATGAAAATAGGGACACCCTAGGGAAAAGTTGGGACATTCCGGCATCAAATCAGAAACCAGGACGTCCATGGAAAATAGAGACACTTGGAGAATCTGCATTTCTACCTAAGGCCCATGATTTCATGCCATAGCGCTGGTTTTGATTATGATGCCAGTGCAGTTACTTTGTTTTCCTTCCTCCATCGCAACAGGAAAGCAAGATGGTTATTAAAACGTGAGTTATGCACGAGCTTTGATTTGTGGAATGACCAGCAAAGAGTTTGTTACATAGTCTGCCAAGACCCCCCAGCAGTTTTCCACGCCCTCTCAATAAAAGAAAAGGGTTGAGAACCACTGCCGCTTTCAAAGGGGGAAAAGGAGATTGTATCATGAGAGCTTCCCACTTGGAACTCCCAGTTAGCAGCTGGGGACCAGGAGGGCTGACCTATGTGTCGAGCTGGAAGGCTTCTTGCCTTCCCCGTTAGCCACGAGGGACACAGCAGTAGGGCTTTTCTCACGGCATTGGCTGCACCGCGTTGTGGGAAAACCTGGAGTCGGCTAGTGTTTACGAGAATGGGATTATTTGTGGTTGGCCTTTCCCTGTGTTCATGCAAATGCATGGGAAGCCCACATCATCCATGCCCCAGAGTTTTTATAGGAGGAACCCATGCCGTTATTGCCTTCACCTCGACCATTCCTGGCAAGGGAAGGGAGGTGCTCCATTGGACTGCTGGGAAAGACATCGAGGTGACGTAAGCCGAGAGCACACTACACTGCTGTTGAGCAAATCTCACGATGGGCAGGGGACCGGCCGAATGATGAAAAGAGAAAAACCAATGGGTTTTATCAACGTTTGTTATTTCAATGCAGATTGTTATTTGCTTTACTATTGTTTTGCATTGTGGATTGTGGTCCAGTTTGAGGATTTGAGATGTGTGTGTATCTTGTCAACCAGTTCTTCCAAAGTCTTCCTAAATTATAAAGCTCCAAAATACAGGCCAAAAGAGAACAGGTCTGGGAAGAGTGAGGCATACAATGGGCACCACCAGTGAAAAGGCCCTGCTCCGTGTAGCCTCTGCCCTGTCATTTGATAGGGTGCCCACTTTCCCTCCTCCTTGACATGGGTGCTTTCTATTGGAGTCTCCAGGTCCAGTACAAAGACCATAAGAAGGGAGAGCAGGAACCTTGAAGTTCCCAACAGCTGTTAATCAAGCAAGCAAGCAAGCAAGCAAGGAAGCAAGCACACAAGTCACCTTTGTCACAGTCAGGACGCCTATGTCCTGGCCAGGCCTGGACCCAATCTTGTTTTTGTACGATCTTGTTTGTCCTCAATAACCAAAATTATATTATCAACATATATAAGCAGAAAAGTTGTTTCCCTTGATTTGCAAGGAATTGTACAAAACAAAGTGGCACTTGTAAAGAAAAGTTCCAGGGTGGCAACAGAAAGCAAACTAAAAATGCTTTTGCAGTTCATCAAAACTATCCAGCAATATCAAGTTATAGGAAAACTGGTGCTATTAACAGTAATCCTTCTAGTTGGTTAATTGGTTCGGCAACTTCCATGCACATGATGTGTGATGCCAATTATTTCCCCAAAGGGTTAAATGATAACTAATCAGAGGCAGCTATAGTTGCAAATGGCAAGAAAATTTCTGTGAAAGGTAGAGGAGCAGGTTTGCTCAAGTGTGTTGCAGGTAGAAATACGGTTTGTAATGAAGTGAGAGCAGTAGTTTACTTGCTGTAATTAACAAATAAGAAAGTTTTGAGAATTTAAATTCTAGATTAAAACTGATTACTTAATTGAGAAGGGGGTTGTAACAAAAACACTGGGGCCTAATTTGAATAGTAGAGTGCCTGGTATCTGGTGGGCAATCTCATCCTTTATTTGCACACTGTGGCTGCAGACCAAATCACCTGTCAGGAGAGTTATGAGATTCAGGTGAGGGTCAGATGCCTTGTCAATCCCAGCAGGTATATAAGAGGCCTTCACCCTGGCCAGGCCCCATCGGTATACACTAATTCTATTATAGTATATAGCCTATTGCAACTGAATTCCCCTTATGTAGCCAAGATGGAAACGCCCTTGCAGAAAAGGGATGTGTTGACAGGCTCAGGGGAATCCCAAGATCTCCAGAAGTCAAAACAAAACAAAAGCAAAATACCCCCACCCCACCCCCTAAAAAAACATTAATGGGAAACTCCATAAGCTTTCCCCTCGCCCAAAAACAGCTCAATGAGGACTGAGCACAGCCAATGTTTGTAGCAAAATGTTGAGTATTTGTTGTGGGTTATACTTATTTAATCAAATAGCCAGAGTTGGCCCTCCTTGCTCTAGACAAAGTAACTTTGGGCTAGAAAAATATTGCCTGTTTCACTGTCTCTGCTTGAAGAGATTGATAAAGCTCTGCCAAACAAAGCATTTCTTATCTGTTCCCCGGGGTCACCATCACATCACAAAATCTTCCCACAACATGGTTGTTATGCGACAACTGCAATCACTGGAGAAACAGCACGGCTGTCACTCTAAACCCACCTCGGGGCACCAGATTAAAAAACAATAAAACCAGTGTTGCCTTCATAAAAGGTTTATGTCTCTGTTTTGAAGCCAATGAGTTTATTTACTCAAACTAGAGTATGTATGGAGGTTACTGCAGAATGTCATGCCTCGTCTGGTTTCCAGTCAACGCCTATTAATGATGAATTTCTATGCGCAGTTTAAACAAGAGTAACATGCCCATCTCCGTCTACAGAAGCAGGAAATTCAAACTGCAGAAAGCCAGATGTTGTTATATTGCCCTCTGCTGTTTGATATACTTCAAGCTTGCTATTCCAAATGAAGATAACAGTATGGAATACTTTTAGCTTTGTAGACATCTTTCTATTCTGCCTTTCCACCTACAGAGAGATGATCAACATAGCCAGCAACCAGAAGCATAGTTAAAAAGAATAAAGGTAAAGGTAAGGGGACCCCTGACCATTAGGTTCAGTTGTGGCCGACTCTGGGGTTGCGGCGCTCATCTCGCTTTATTGGCTGAGGGAGCCGGCGTACAGCTTCCGGGTCATGTGGCCAGCATGACTAAGCCGCTTCTGGCGAACCAGAGCAGCGCACGGAAACGCCGTTTACCTTCCCGCTGGAGTGGTACCTATTTATCTACTTGCACATTGACGTGCTTTTGAACTGCTAGGTTGGCAGGAGCAGGGACCGAGCAATGGGAGCTCACCCTGTGCGGGGATTCGAACTGCCAACCTTCTGATTGGCAAGTCCAAGGCTCTGTGGTTTAAACCACAGCGCCAGCCGCGTCCCAAAAAGAAGAATACAATGGACTTAAAAGAAGAAATGTGGGATAGCTCAATCAGTAAACTATTAGACTCTTAAATCTCAGGGTTGTGGGTTCGAGCCCCAGACTTGGCAAAAGATTCCTGCATTGCAGGGGGTTGGACTTGGTGATCCCGCATGGTCACTTCCAACCCTACAATTCTATGATTCTATACAAAACCAGGCTGGGAATCAGATTGAAACGGATCTGATCAGTTATAGCCAGAAACGCGCGGAACTGAGACACCACCGCATTCAAGCACATTTCCCAAAGGTGGCTGTTTGCAGGGCTGGTTCAATATATTTTGCTATCTAAAGAGGACAAATTGGTGACCTCCCATTCATCAGAGGTTGACTGGAGTGGCACTGGAATCTTTGCTACTGGTAAGGGGGTGTGTGCATAGGAGGGCAACGTGCTAGTTATTGGGGTGAAAGGCCATGTAGCACACAAAACTCTGCCTTCCAGCAGAAAGTCATGACCAGAGGGCTTCAGGAGGAACATCTAGGCTCCTGCAGCTGCCTTCTTTTGCCAAGGCAGTTCCCTCTTTTCCTAATGGTAGGGATGGAGCTGGGTGTTGGATGCCAGCTGCAGATGATCTAAAGCAGTAGGGTCTTTTCCCCCCATAATGGTCTCACTGCAAAAAACCCCACAAAACCTCTCCCACCCCACATTTTTATAGATCCACTCACAGACCATGAAAATGGGCAACCATGACAGCTATTGGTTGAGTGCCAAGGGGCAAAATGCATCAAGGACCCTCTTGGATTCTCCCTTCTGCTGGCTGCCACATTTAAATCTCTGTAACGACTTGCACTGAGATTGCATCAGAAGAAAGCATCATTCTGCAGGGCACTCTGGGAAAAAATAGTGGCTGCCAGTGGCCCTTGACACATTGTTACACAGCACCATTCTGGGGGTTCAAATGTACCCCCCCAACAGGAACTAAGGAGTACCAGGGAGCTTTGCACCCTACTCTCAAAATCTGCTGAAATCTGAAAGAGGGGGTACAATTTCATGTCCCCTTTTTAAAGCACTCCAAATTCAGGCTGAACTTTCAGTATTCCAAATACTTGGTTTAGCACTACTGACTAATGCTTCCTTCCAGTTGGTTCCAGGCCCTCTTTCTGCAAAAAAACAAACCCACACCTACAATAAAATACCTTCCCTATTTAATCAGGCAACCCAACTCTGACTATTGCTTCCTTTGGAATTGCTGGAGCCAAGCCCTCTTTCTGAAGAAAACAAGAAATTTCCTGCCTTATCTATTCAGACAACACTTGGTCTTTTTGATCATCCAGTCCAAGAAATAAAGGTGAGCATGCAAGTGACCAGTCATATACTGTATGTACTTTCAAGAATTCTATCCACATCCTGGGTAGAAACACTTTCATCGAATACTTTGTGGAAATCACCATCCATGAGCAATTTTGTGTGCAAAACATCTTGCAAATGTGGGTCATTGAGGGATCAACCAGAATCCACCGAGCGACAAGTTGTAAAACTCAGAACAGTTCTGCTGGACAGCCCTGCACAAGTGCAACAGTGGTGAGCACAAAGTAGAATCTCTTTGTCGCTGCCACCACAACCACCGTGGAGCAGCTACAGAACGAACTCTCTCCTGTGTTCGGTCAGATTCATTCAGATTTCTCCTCCATCATCGCTCTCTTGCCGATAGCATCTAGCCAAATCTCATTCTGCGAAAGCTTGTACCACAATAAATCTGTTAAGTCTGTTAAGGCACCGCAAGGTTGTTTGTTATCTTTACTGCTCGCCAGCTTCTGTTGGCAGAAAGCAAGGGTTTGAAAACTCGAGGCCCCTTTTAATCTCCACTGTTCACTCGGCGCGATCTAGGCGCAAAACATGGGAGATGATCAAAGTGCATGTTCCATGCGCAGACTGGCAGGCATGAAATGCAAGCAGACCAAGCTGATAGGGGAGGTGAGATTTTGAGAATTGCAAATTTCACGTTGAAAGCAAGTTTCTCGCCTTCTCTGTTTTTAGAAGAAAAGTCTATAGAGGGGTAGGAGAGCTGGACATAAGGCTAATATATTTCACATCTGGCAACAAATGCGTCCCCATAGTACATGGGTAAACGAGTCTAAAAAGCCCAGGACACATATTTTCATGTTCCTCTAGTGGCTAATGGTGGCTCATTTACCAGAAGTAATGTATTGAGCGTCAATTTAGTGTATTCAGTGTATACTCGATTCTGACCAAATTAAGCCTCCTAGAGCACAAGAGACATCAGGAGGCATAAGAATCAATGCACACATGTTTTATGCAAGTCTGCACCCCTTTTCTCAGTTTGTGTGTGTGTGTATCAATGGCTGCTCTGCTTGGCCATGGCTTGAAGTCAAGTGTCATTCACATTATTTTATTTAAAGGGCTTGCTGATATTTCAGTCCCTCATTCCCCACCCCACCCCTGTTTTCCATTATCTTACCAACCAGTTTCTGGAAACAAGAGACTTCATTGCTTTGCAGTGAAACCACCAAACGTTTTTCACCGGCCTCCTGTTTTCGGATTCCATTTCCCTGATGTTTGGGGGTGGCATGAGCGAGCGAAATGAGAAGTATGCATGTGGGGAAACCCCACATCTCGATCGCAGTTTCAGAAACAGTTTCACTTCAGCTTCCCTTGCACCCCTGTGAAAGGATGCTCAGAGCCCATGCGCTGCTGTTTTGGTGGAAGATCCCACCTCGTTCGCAAGGGCCAGTTTCACACCTGTTGTGCATTTACTTCACCTGCTCTGGAATGGAGGTAAGTCTACGCAGTTTCCTCCAGACATTTTGGGATCCCTTTCTTTCATAAGTGTACTCTGCAACATGGCCTGGGCACAATAATAGTGTATTAGTGGTGGATTTATACAGGACCATCCATACATCATTCTGCTTTATTAGTCGCTCGGCAATGCTCTCCCAGTGTGGGGCAAAATTATTATTATTATTATTATTATTATTATTATTATTATTATTATTAATACTTATAGCCCTGGCCGGGCCTCCCCAGCCACTCTGGGCAGCTTCCATCAAGATAATAAAAGATCAAACATTAAAAACTTCCCTAAACAGGGCTGCCTTCAGATGTCTTCTAAAAGTCAAATAGTTGTTTATTTCCTTGACATCTGGTGGGAGGGCGTTCCACAGGGTGGGTGCCACTATCCAGAAGGCCCTCTGCCTGGTTCCCTGTAACTTTGCTTCTCACAGTGAGGGAACCACCAGAAGGCCCTCAGAGCTGGGTCTCAGTGTCTAGGCAGAACACCACCCTCGAGACATTTGTGGTGTTAAAAAAAAAAAAAGTTATGGGCATGCACTAATTGGAAAAGAAGCAGTCTATCCGCTCCTTCCTTTTTTGCAGGTGCAGATAGCATTGAAAGGAGGATCAGGTGTAACTGCCCCAATAACATCCCAAGCACAAATCGTCATGAATGCATGATGAAAAGGATGGCCGGAAGGGGCCCTTGCACTGCAACTCCCCTCAGCCCCTGCCATTGCGGCTAATGGCAATCCGGCAAAATACAGAGAATTCCCCATTCCCGAGGTGGGCAGTTAAGTTTTGCACTGGAAGAACATCTCTGGTGTGGGATGCCCAGGGCCGGATTTAGGTTTGATGAGGCCCTAAGCTACTGAAGGCAATGGGGCCCTTTATATGTCCAGCTGTCCTTTGTCAACAACAAATTGCCACTGTTTTTTTGTGTTGAATATATGCTATATGGTAATTTATGGACCTAAAAGGTATGCAACCAGTCCATGCAGAATGCAGGCACTCTATATGTAGAAAGGAGAAAACCAGTTATATTTTAGGGAGCAGGCTAGCAGGCGGGGCCCATGACTTACATCATAGGAGCCTACACAACACAAAACACTGTTGCTGTATGTAGGTTGTATTTTTATTTGTCTTTTATCTTATATTTTGGAAATGTACATCCAGTTTTTTTCCTTTATTTTTTTTTTGGGAGCCCCAAGAGCCTTAAGCTATAGCTCGTTTAGCTTATACGTAAATTCGGCACTGGGGATGACTCACTTGTGGCGCTGTGTTATCCCCAAAGGCTTCATAGTTGGAAACCCAGGACTCCTTACTTCCCTGCATCCCCCACGCCCCCTACACACCTGGAGGTCGGTGGACGAGTTTCTCTTGCGAGTGTCAAAGATCTCATAAGCTGCATCCCACAGTAACTCAGAGCAGGGCTTTAAGTGCGGCTGCCCCTGTTCTATGGAAGTCTTCCTGGCGCCCAGGGACAGGTGGCCAATAACTGCATTTCCTGGAAACAATTAAAGACATTTCCCCCCCGTTCCAACAGGCTTTCCCCAGCTGGACCAATGTGGGTTTTCCATGAGCTTGTCAGGCTTCCGGTCATGTTTTAAATGTACCTTTTGCGGTTTTAACTGCTTTGAATTCTCTTATATGCAAATTGCCAAGAGGCAGTGGTTTAGAAGGCAATAATAATAGTAAGAGAAGAGAAGTTCCAAGGGCAGCACTTGATTCCTCTTGAAGGGAGAGATAACCAGAGGCTTATGGTGTGTCTGTTAATATTTTATTTATAAATGTACAAGTTGAACATAGGTGGAGGCACAGCTTAGCCCTCTTACAAGCAGCAAATGCTACCGTCCCACATCAGACTGCTAGAGAGGCAGCCCTCAAAATAGTACTTTCCTGAGTTCAAAGATCTCTTCTGAGTCCCAGTCACTAACCGCGGCTTCTCTCCCCAACACAAATCTTCCATAACTTGAGGGAATAGGGAAGGTTTGCTGCACCACCCAATCTCTCCTGGGTTTCTCCTATTTAGAACATATTCTTGTCTCAAGAGGCCGTCTTCTAACATTTGGCTCCTGCTGAGAGACCATTTCCTGAACATCACGAGCTATTAACATTCCTCTGACAAGTCTGAGACTCTGGACAGGTATTGCGTTAAGGCAAACCCCCAGGGATAGCTGTGTTCACAGCAATCTGCTAGAAAACACATGATAATATTCAGTAAGAGTAGATTAAATGGGCCCCTGAGCAGCTGCAGACTGTGTTTACCTCACCACAGAGAAATGACAGAGAGTCCCACAGACAAAGCTAGGGAGGGGCCCGTTGACCAAGTCCTGTGTGAGAAGGCAGTGGGCTTCACACAGGTACCTGGCCACTGTGAGAACAGTAATGCTGGACTAGATAGATAGGCCTTTGGCCTGATCCAACACAACTTTTCTTACATTCATTTAGGCCAGGGTTTCCCAAACTTGCGACTACAGCTGTTTTTGGACTACAACTCCCATCATCCCTAGCTAGCAGGACCAGTGGTCAGGGGGTGATGGGTATTGTAGTGACAAAAACCAGGTGGAAACCCACATTTGGGAAACCCTGATTTAGGCTCACTCTTCTAGTTCATAGGAAGAGTTTTGTCCCCGTCATCAGCTCACTTCCTTGAGATCCGTGAGCAACTTTTCTGCAGTCCACATCTCTTTATACAACAGTCTGAATTATGTGAGTTGATCTGTGGAGGAGGGGGGCGGTACGTTGGGCCCTTCAGGCAACTTGGAAACCTACCCACCGGGTGAGATTCAAAGGTCCCAAGTGTCAATCTCTCATGCTGGCCAATGGAAAAGGCTGCTGTTGTGACACCAAGTTGACTGGCGGTCCATGGGGCCTTTCAGGGGTAGAAAGTGGTGGTGGTGTCAGTTTCCGTGGCAATGGAGCACCTTGTGTTATCCCGGTACGTTGACCACTGCCAGAGCTGCGCTTGGCTGATGCAGCCCAGGTTCTTGAGGAGCCGGAGCAGGTCATTGCGGAACTTGACACCTATGAAGGCGTACAGGAAGGGGTTGAGGCAGCAGCGGAAGCACGCCAGGCCGTACGTCACGTCATTGGCCACATCCATGCGCTTGATGACTTCGCATTCGCCATTGGTGTGGTTGAAGGCCGAGATGGTCTCAGCTAGCACGACGCCATTGTAGGGCAGCTGGAAGAGGACAAAGACCACCATCACAGCAATGAGGACCTTGATCGCCCGGTTCTTCTCGAAGCTCCGGGCTTGGAACAAGGTCCTGATGATGACACAGTAGCAGAACGTCATCACTAGGAGAGGCATCAGGAAGCCAAAGAGCATCTGGCAAATCCTGATGCCGGTGCTGAAGGCCAGCAAGTTGTATGCTAGGATGCTGCAGCGTGGCTTCTGTTGGTCAGACTCATAGATGCCCCTGTGGACCAGCTCAGGGATGGCGAGGACGAAAGCTAGGATCCAAATGGAGAGGCAGGTGACCTTGCTGGCGAAAACTCTCTGGGACCGAAGGCGGTGGGCTGAGGGGGCCTGGACAATGGCGAAATACCTGTCGATGCTGATGGAGAGCAGCAGCAACATTCCGCTAAAGAAGCTCATCTGGCAGATGCAATGGATGGCTTTGCAACCAAACTCCTTAAAGACCCAATACTTTGCTGCGCTGAAGGCCCAGAAGGGGAGAGTCAGCAGGAAGAGGATGTCCGCTATGGCGAGGTTGAGGAGGTAGATATCTGTCATCGTCTTGAGCCTCTTGAAGTAGATGTACGTCACCATGACCAGGCAGTTGCCTGCCAGCCCCACAAAACACACAAGGGAATATACAACGGGTAAGAAAACTGCACGGAATCGCCGGATCTCATCCTTCTTGCAGATGTCTGCATACGCATCGTAGTCAATCGTGAAGTTGCTATTGTAGTCGTATTCAGCTGTCACAGTCTGGCTCATGCACAGCTAGGAGGCAGATAAAAGAATCAGTTACAACTTACATACTGGAGGGGATAACATCTCTGCAGCATTTGCCAAGTGACCCCCCCAAAAAACACACACACCCAGGAAGCAATCTTCAGATCAGGGGCACATTCATTGAGGAATTATATCCAGGTATAATTGTTTGATTCGCAGTTTAACTATCATGGCTTCTCAAAAGGAATCTAGTGGTCTTAGTAGATCACAAGTAGGTCAATTGTGTGATGCAGCAGCAACAAAAATGCTAATAATATTCTAGGCTGCATCAACAGAAGTATAGTGTCCTGGTCAAGGGAAGTAATAGTACCGCTCTATTCTGCCTTGGTCAGACCGCACTTGCAGTACTGTGTCCAGTTCTAGGTGCTACAATTTAAGAAGCTGGAATGTGTGCAGAGGAGGGTGACCAAGATGACCAAGGGACTGGAAACCAAGCCTTATGAGGAATGGTTGAGGCAGCTGGGTATGTTTAGTCTGGAAAAGAGGAGACTGGGATATGATAGCCATCTCCAAATATCTAAAGGGCTATCACATGGGGGATAGAGCAAGGTTGTTTTCTCCTGCTCTGGAGGGTAGGACTCGAACCAATGGCTTCAAGTTACAAGAAAGGAGATTTCGACTAAGCACCAGAAATAACTTTCTGACAGTATGACCTGTTCGACAGTGGAACAGTTTCCCTCAGGAGATTGTGGACTCTCCTTCCTGGGAAGTTTTTAAGCAGAGGTTGGATGGCCATCTGTCATGGATACTTTAGTTGAGATTCCTGCATTGTTGGGGGTTGGACTAGATGTCCCTCGGGGTACCTTCCAACTCTACAATTCTATGATCCTATGAAGGTGTCCTGGAGGTCATTGCTAGATGAGGGTGCTCTCAGAGCTATCTAGCCACACACACAGACTACAGTTCCAAGGATTTCCTGGGATGAGTGGATGCCCACTTTTAAGTCTCTAGGTTCCACATTAAATGAGCAGCCATTCACACGATTAGTAACTGCATTAAAGGCAGTTTAGAAAGCAAATAGGGATGGGGACGGGGGACCATGAGCTCAGGGGTTCTCCAGATTGGGGAGGGAGGTGTCACAGAGATTGGAGGGTTCATGCCCCAATCTCATCATAGCTAGCCATTCACAGCCAAGAGTTTGATTAATCCTCTTTGTAAAGCCACCCAAGTTGGAAAGGTTCAAATGTGCACCAATGGAAGCTTTTCTTCCAATGCAAGTTGCCAGTGTGCTACTTAATAAGCGAGATGGACTGAAACACTCAGCAATGAGGACAGCCGTTGCCCTGCTGACTATCTGCGATGTCGATAAAAAAATACAGGACTGAGATTGGAGCAAATAAGAGCTACTCTCTCTGTTGCTCATCCCTGCAGCCCCAAGTGGAAAGAGTATTAGAGAAGAGGGTAAATTGTGTGGTCTCAAGAAGAACACTCCGCAGGGGCACTGGTGTGTGTGTGTGTGTGTGTGTGTGTGTGTGTGTGTTGGGAGAACAGAAGTGGGTTCTGTGTTTTGGGGGCAGGCTTATAAGACATCTGTTTGGCTTCCTGTGCACACTTCCTTTCAAATTTCAGCACTTGGTCCCAATCCAGATTTGGTTTGAAGGGCAAAAGGGTTAAAACGCCCCTGCTCCCCATCAGCTTCCCAGTATGAGCCCCACCATAGTGGCTACCGGTAATTATTTAACAGACCTGCTGTGTAAGGACTGAAGACGTGAATAACGTCACACCCGGTTTGACCTTCAGGTCCCTTTCTCTCTGATTGACACTGTAGCACAGTGGTTCTCCATCAGCTAAGTACTGCAGACCCCCTTGTTTTGCAAAAGCCAAGCTACATGGACCCCCTATTTTTGAAAACTATGATATCTCTCTAGTAGTTTTTGTTGTGCAAATGGCACCACAGATCCCCTGGGTGGGTTACGCCGACTCCCTGGAGTCTGTGAGCCACCAGCTGGGAACCACTTCCGTAGAACCATTTTTTCTCCCACCCACCAAGACAGGATGACTTCTACGTAAAGGGAATTTTCAGTATGTGATGTTTGAAAGCATTTTTATTTTGCAGAAAATGCCTGCCACCTAACAGGCATATGCTTACAGAAACTAAGCTTTCCAGGAATTGTATAGCCAAGCAAAAATTACATTGCCAGAAAAAGAGGAAATGTATTGCCTAGAAATGCACTGTTGACACAGACGTGCAAACAAAATGCACAGGCTAATTTATATTTATAGATGCAAATGCAGAAATAACTATTGCCGTGTTCATATAGATGTGCATGTCTCTCCATAGAGCAACTCACTCTGACGTAGCTACCTGCACTGTGCCAGCTCAGTTTGCTGCCCTGGTGCTCCCAGGTGATGGGCAATGCTGGGGCCCCCTCCTGCACTCGCCTCTTAAAGTTTTTTTTTACCTTTAAATTTGACTTTGTCTGGGCACCTTCTCCAATAAAATCATAGAATCGTAGAGTTGGAAGGGACCCTGAGGGTCATCTAGTCCAACCCCCTGCAATTCAGGAATCTCAGCTAAAGCACCTCTGCTTTAAAAACCTCCAATGAATGAATGAATGGGCAAGAGTATTGTTGGCCCAGAAATGGAAGGAAGAAGAAATACCAACGAAAGAAGAATGGCAGACGAAATTAATGGACTACGCAGAATTGGACAAAATGACAGGAAGGATTCGAAACGTTCGGGACCAGAGATTCACAGAAGATTGGAAGAAATATACGAATTATTTGAAGAGCAACTGTAATAAAAAAATTACGCTAGTAGGACTACAAGAAGTTTTGTAAGGAGGAATATATGAAATATTGCAAAGAAGAGAAAGAAGAGAGATATTAGTTATGATATTTTCATGTAATAGTGAAAGTAAGAAATGTAAATTAAGTGGGAAAGATTGGAAAATTTTCAGATGTGATTGATGGAAGTCAAAAAAATTGAATAAGATATAAAAGTATGCTTAATAATTGTTGAAAATGATATGTTAAAAAACTAATAAAAATATTTAAAACAAAACAAAACAAAAAAACCTCCAATGAATGAGAGTCCACCACCTCCCGAGGAAGACTGTTCCACGGTCGAATAGAGAATTGTCCTCAGTAAAAAGAGGCACATGGGGATCACTAAAATGAGTTTATGGCAGGGTTATCGACTTCTGGGGGGGGGGGGACAACTGATGCAAATCAATGGGGAGAAACAACAACTCTATCTTTAGGGAATGTGTGCCATTTTCAGATGGAACAACACTTCATGACAGTGGTTAAAGTTTTGAAAATTGCCACATTTGGGCCTGTGAGATACCAAGGAGGAAATTCTGATTAGGACATGTGAGCGTTGCCTTATGAAGGGTCACGTGCGACTGGTTCATTCCTTTTTGAGGATGTCATCATAGGCAGAAGAGGTTCTCTTTTTCAAACTTGGAGTTTCTGACCCCACATAAGGACAATGTGATGTGCAGTACTTACACCAAAGTTTCCCAACGAAATAAAATAAAAATGAAGGATGCTTCCTTAGCTACTGGCACAGTTAACTGAGATAGAGCAGAATCCTATAGCTGCCTACTTTTGAATTCAACAGGACCTGCTCCCAGGCAGTAGCTGGGCCACGGTTGTGTCTTAGGACCTGAGCTAGAAACCATGTAATTCCTGGTTCAGATCTTATCCCTATCATGATCTCAGCAGGTGTGGGTGTTAAATGAGCCACTCTTTCTCAGTTCTTTATCTGCAGTATACAGATAATAACATTGATCTCCTGCCAAGGGCTGTTGTGTAGAGATTACAGTATTGATAATGTGGGCAAAACACCTTAAAACACTCAGAAAATGCTACATACACGCTAAACATCATTACAAAAGATGTTCTGGGGATGGTGGTAGAAATATTTCAAAAACAAAGGTGTGTCTGCACCAGCTGTTTCACTCACAATAAAAAGCTAACGCCAAAGGTAGTGCATGGAATTCCCCTTTCAAAGGTTGATGGACTCCAGCTCCCATCATGCTTGCTGGTTGGGGCTGATGGGAGTTGGAGTCCAACCCCATCTGGAGGGCACCCCTTCCAATACAGTGGTACCTCGGGTTACATACGCTTCAGGTTACATACGCTTCAGGTTACACACTCCACTAACCCAGAAATAGTGCTTCAGGTTAAGCATTTTGCTTCAGGATAAGAACAGAAATCGGGCTCTGGCAGCGCAGCAGCAGCAGGAGGCCCCATTAGCTAAAGTGGTGCTTCAGGTTAAGAACAGTTTCAGGTTAAGTACGGACCTCCGGAACGAATAAAGTACTTAACCTGAGGTACCACTGTATTCCTGGTTTATGTGATCTATACCTGGTCTTGGACAGCAGTCCAGATTAGGGTCCCATTGCTGGGTTTTGCCCTGAGAAAAGTACCTGTTTCATGGATCAAATATTTTCTCCACTACATTCCTCATGCTGCTTAACCGACACCACTAGGGACATGATCCTGCTGGCGAAGTTCAGAATGAGAAGATTGTGCGTGACTAAATCTAACGGAGAAGAGGCATCAGAACCGCCATTGCAAGCAATGTGGTCTGGAGTGCCTATCTGTGAATATATTTACGGGTGGGAAAGTGTATATATTCACTCATTTACTTATTTATATTTTGCCTTTCCTCAAGAAGCTCAAGGTAGCATACATGGGGATGATACCCTGGGCGACCAGGGTTCAAATCCCCACTCAGCCACATGAAGCCCACTAGGGCAACCCAGTCAGATGGGTGGGGTACAAAAAATAAAAGTATTGTTGTTGTCATGATCATCTTGGGCCAGTTGCCATCTCTTAGCCTACCTCACAGGGTTGCTGTGAGGATAAAATGGTGTGGAGGAAAAGTGAGATAGAAATGCAAGAATAAATTAAGAAAGCAAACTGAGAATGCTTGGGGAATTCAAGTTATGCGAATTGAACTGCCCTGATTCTCACTTCCTAGACCTAGGTGTGGATTGTTGTTGTTGTTGTTTAGTCATTTAGTCGTGTCCGACTCTTTGTGACCCCATGGACCAGAGCACGCCAGGCACTCCTGTCATCCACTGCCTCCCGCAGTTTGGTCAAACTCATGCTGGTAGCTTCAAGAACACTGTCCAACCACCTCGTCCCCCCCTTCTCCTTGTGCCCTCCATCTTTCCCAACATCAGGGTCTTTTCCAGGGAGTCTTCTCTTCTCATGAGGTGGCCAAAGTATTGGAGCCTCAGCTTCATGATCTGTCCTTCCAGTGAGCACTCAGGGCTGATTTCCTTCAGAATGGATAGGTTTGTTCTTCTTGCAGTCCATGGGACTCTCAAGAGTCTCCTCCAGCACCATAATTCAAAAGTGATCAGCCTTCTTTATGGTCCAGCTCTCACTTCCATACTACTGGGAAAACCATAGCTTTTACTATACGGAACTTTGTTGGCAAGGTGATGTCTCTGCTTTTTAAAGGTGTGGATTAGGGCTTCATTATCCTTTGGATTTTGCATTGCTTGGGATTTTGTGATGCAATTCATGGTATTAAGGGAGGGGGAAGCAACTCCCCAAAAGCATGTGTATTTCTGACTAAAATACCTCAAGAAAGGTGTACCGCGAGATAAAATATGTATCAGCTAGGTACTTCGTCATAAAGCAGTATTTCAATACAAATTTTAGCGCAGATTAATGTGGGAAAATGGTGGGAAAGACTTAGGAATGAACATATGCAAAATTGACATGAACCCAAACCAAAAATTCATCCATCCCTTGGCGCACCAATCTTTGGCAGCAGAGAAGTAACCATAAGGAAGGTCATTATGAGTTCTGTCATCATGCTAAACCATAATTAGCACAAGCCATGGTCTGTTCATGCACTTCAAACCATGGTTTCTGATTCAGGTTAGCTGGCCTCTGACAAACTATGGTTTATCAGCTCAGACATCGCACCAAACCATAGCTAAGTGTCCACCATCCCTTTGGTTAACTTTGACATGATGTCTGCACTCTTAAGATAACAGGTTTTAAAAGCCTGTTTTGTGGTCAAAAGCTTTCCCTCCACTCAGAAAAGGGTGATTCCAAATCCCTCTGCCACTTGTGGGTGACCACAGCATGTGATCTGTGATTCATGTCTTTACTGTCCCTTACTATGTCACATGGGAAGCTGCTGTATGTTTCCCTGACATTTGCACTGGAAATTCCAGACAGTGAAAACAACACATTGGAGCTGCCCATTTTCAAACGTAGAAGGAGCATGATATTCCAGGACTGAGTCTGAGCAGTGCAGGATTTACGTATAAGCTAAACAAGCTATAGCTTAGGGCCTCACTCTCTTGGGGGCCCCCAAAAAAATTTAAAGAAAAAAACAAACCTGGATGTACATTTCCAAAATATAAGATAAAAAAGAAATAAAATAAAACCTACATAAAGTAAGTAATGGGCCCCGCCTGCTAGCCTGCTCCCTAAAATATCACTGGTTTGCTCATTTCTATATATAGGGTGCCTACATTCTGCATGGACTGGTTGCGTGTCAACATGTGCAGATGGCTTTAGATACAGCAGTACCTCAGGTTAAGAACTTAATTTGTTATGGAGGTCTGTTCCTAACCTAAAACTGTTCTTAACCTGAAGTACCACTTTAGCTAATGGGGCCTCCTGCTACTGCCGCGCAATTTCTGTTCTCATCCTGAGGTAAAGTTCTTAACCCAAGGTGCTATTTCTGGGTTAGCGGAGTCTAACCTGAAGCATCTGTAACCTGAAGCGTCTGTAACTCGAGGTACCACTGTACCTATTAGGTCCATAAATTACCATATAGCATATATTCAACACAAAAAACAGTGACAATTTGTTGTTGACAAAGGACAGCTGGACATCTAAAGGGCCCCATTACCTTCAGTAGCTTAGGGCCTCAGCAAACCTAAATCTGGCCCTGAGTCTGCAACATGGTTTGGTTTCAGATAGGGGTAGGGAGGATGGAGATGGAGAAGGAACAGGGTCAATGGGAAGCAGGGGTGGAGAAAGGGACAGGAACTGCTGGGGACTTTGCTGGTGTGTTTTGTTGCAAAAATAGTAAGGAGAGGCAGAGCAAAAGAGAGGGGAACGGGATCTGTAGTGTATGAGGGAGGGAGAAGGGGCATGTACTGCACACATGGCGGGTGTGAGGAGTGGCAGAGGTGCAGAGAGAAAGAACCACAGTGGGTTGGGAGGTGAACTGGCCACACAAAGTTTAAAAGGGAAAACACACCGAGCTCTGAGGCCTGCAAGAAAACCTTGTGGTGGGCTTGTGAGCGAGGGCTCCTACCACATCCTGTGGGTGGACCTGCAGAAGGAGCATCGCTCAAAGAGAAAGGAAGGAGAGGCAGCCCACCACCAAACACCTCCACCCTCTCCCTTGAATGTGTGTGTGTGCAAGAGAGAGAGAGAGTGAGAGCCTCATGAAAGTGAGAATGAGGGAAAAGAGGAGCTCCAGAGTCAACCTCAGTTCACAACTTAGCAACACGCCTTTCTTCAGAGGTGGGAATAAAATGCGCCTTGAGATGGTTGCCCAGGAGGATGGGAAAAGCTGCCCCTTTTCCATTTCCCATTTTTCCAATCTAAACTTCAGTTCTCTACATTTTGGCAATCTTAATAATAATAATAATAATAATATATTTATTTATACCCCACCCATCTGGCTGAGTTGCCCCAGCCACTCTAGGCAGCTTCCAACTCATATAAATAATAATAATAAAATGTCAAACATTAATAGTAACAATCTGATCCGATATTTAAAAAATCACAATAACTTTAAAAATAAACAACTTATATCCAATAAAGCGATATTCAATAATCCATTGGAATTCAATAGTAAGCAGTAAAATTTAACATCAGCAAATCGTAATTAAACAGTTTACACTTATCAATTACAATAAAGAATTACTAATCTATAACCAATAAAAATAGTCCTCATGAAAATTCACCAGCGTTTTAGCTCAGATTTCTCCTAATGAGCACATTCTTGGGTATGCGGTTTTGCTAATTTTTGCTAAAACCATTCATCTCTGTAGGTTATGTTTTAGTAATGTATGCACCCACCTGCACACTTGACTTGAGTATATGCATTTTTGTACGCATTGCTTGGCTGGAGAACGGTTTGGCAAGATTCTGAGAAGTGTGGATTTCAAAGGATGGCTGTGGTCTGGTGCATGCGTCTCTGCAGAGCATGCGGTCCAGCTAGGCTCGCCTTTAAATGCAAGCCGAATCAAATTTCTATTGCCCAGTGGCCATTTGTCAAGCACCCTGAACCTTTAATCCTTCCCATTGCCCAACTTCTTCCCTTTACTGACATGGGAAGGTGGAGCAAGGGAACATGCAACAGACTCTGTATCAAATGACTTCACCCCACAGCAGCAGTGCTCAAGGGACACCGGCCATTTGGGTCAGCTCCTTACCTGGAAAAGGAGAGGCAAGTTCAAAACGATGACCGCTCTCAGCTTTTTATCTAGAGGAGGGAAACACAATGTACACAGTGACACAGAAAACGGCTGGGACGACACAGAGGAGGACATGAAGAGAAGGCAGCCCTGCAAATTTAAGTGAAATATCATGGTCTTTCAGCAAAGTTGTTCATGCCCACTCTGAAATGCTTATAGAAAAGGCTGCAACGAGGACAGATCATGCGCTAGCTGTGATAAACAGGGCTGTGATTTGGGATTTATTTTCGTAGAGGGGAGCAGGTGGTTTCTAAGGTTCAAAAGTGGTTTCACTGGATGGCTGTTTCGAAGGGGGAGTTGTAGACGATGGCTGCACCACCACTCCAGGCAAATTATATTGCTGGCAGGTGTGCCCCCGTCATAGCTGCTGCTTCCCCCAACCCCTGCTCCCCCTCCGCCTCAAGGATGGCAGTTGCAAGGCCAGAGTTGGCCCTAGGGTAGCAGTTGCTGACACCTATCCTATGGTCGCCAAAGCTTGTGACCATAAGACAGGAGGTTTGGAAGTCCAAAACTGCGCTTTGCATTGTGCCCAGAGGACTACAAAAAGCAGCTTTCCAAGCAAGCATGAGCTCTGCATCATCTTATCTAAAGCAGTTTGCCCAGTTCATTCCTTATTCCCCCCTTTGTGATTTATATTATTATTATTATTATTATTAACAACAGAAAACAGAACTGACATCATTCAAACCAATGTTGCTGGGGAAAAATACATATATGTTTATTTTTCCTATCAAAGTGGCATCTCATTCAGAAGTATGTGCCATTGAGCATGCACAGAAAGCCTCACTTATCACTGAGTGTGTAGGTCCTTAGAGATTAGGGGCTTCCTGTTCAGAAAAGATAGTCTGAGCCTCTATACCCCCTGGCTTTAGAAATGAGAGCGGGGTGGAGTTTATCACTTTTAACAGAAGAGGTTTTTAACATGAATAAATCAAAACACCACATTGTGGTCCTTTCCTCTGTCTTGTAATTTGAAATTTGGGCTTCTTTTAACAGCTGTCCTGGGAGCCAAGGCAAGGAAGTAGTTAGCACATTGTGTTCATTGAAACACACACCTTCCAAGGAAGGAGAGATGGCAGGGCTTTTAAACCTGACCCCCCCTCCACTTGGAAGCCCTTGCCCCCATTCCCAGATGGGTGTCTGAGCACAAGGCTGCCATCGTTTAATGGCAAGCCAATTCTACTCTGCACATGCCCAGAAACACACTGCCATTGTGATTGTTCCCAAGTAGCCTTGGAGCTAGAAACAGGTTCAGAAGCTAGCTTCTGACTCAGTTTGAACCCTGAAGTTGAGGTTGAGAGAGAGAGAGAAAGAGGACTTACCTCTGTCCATGGCCTTTTGCTAACTTGCCACGAAACCAGACAATGACAGCTAGTGAAAGGGAGCTTAGAATGATGCTATGCGAAGAGCAATTTATAGGAACTTCCTTTCTTTTTTTTTTCTTTTTGGCTCAGCCCTCATACCCTTGCAAGGACGGAGCACATGATGCGTTGCGCTCAGAGGCTGAGATTTTACTTGCTGTTCCTTCTCCTGCCTGGAGCACAGCCTCACTGCGGGGGCCCTTGATAGCCTCAGGTGCTTCCTGCTGCCCTGAGAGAATGCAGATGGCCCAAGTGATAAGGAGATCTTTGCCCTTTTCGAGAAGAACAACCTGCAGAATGAATTGTTACTAGTCATCCTCTGGCAAAGGGTGAAAAATGGCTTTCTCTGTGGTCTCCGAGGAACAGGTGTCATATATATTTATATTCTTACGAGCCCCCTCTTTTCACCCAGGAAGGCCCACAAAGCACGCAAGGACCACCAGAGGAGGGGAAGCACCCCCTGCAATAAGTAACTTGCCTCTGTCCCCAAACAGAGTTTTCTTTCTTCCAGGAACCAAACATTGGACAAAAGGGCAAGCTGCCCACATCTGTGCCCCTCTATCTATTTTCCCTGGTGCTGCCGCAAAGTGACTTCCAGAAGAAGAATAAAGCAATACCAAAAAACAAACAAAACAACAACAACAACAACAACAAACAAGATTAAAGACAAACCCAGGGCACATGAAAACACCATCCTGCGCCATCTAGGTCAGGTTTATGCCTCATAAGGATGAGCAAATCTGTTCGAACTTTACCGAGATCTGTTAGGAGACTCCTATTCCCTTCCCAGAATTACAATTCCCAGCATTCCCTCTGATTGTTAAGCCACTTTAGAAATCGTAGCTCGGGGCAGGGGAGGGAACTAGGTGCCACCCCGCGACTCTCAGTGTTAAGTTGTGGGTGAACATATCAGACAACACAGCGATTCTTCAAACAGCTCTTGTTTATTCACAGGCCAGAACAGAACTGCACTGAAGGGTTTAGCCAGCCTGCTTATACAGTGGTACCTCGGGTTACATACGCTTCAGGTTACATACGCTTCAGGTTACAGACTCCGCTAACCCAGAAATAGTGCTTCAGGTTAAGAACTTTGCTTCAGGATGAGAACAGAAATCGTGCTCCGGTGGCGCGGTGGCAGCAGGAGGCCCCATTAGCTAAAGTGGTGCTTCAGGTTAAGGACAGTTTCAGGTTAAGTACAGACCTCCGGAACGAATTAAGTACTTAACCCGAGGTACCACTGTATAGAGCTCCACTACAACACAACTGTAACAACTTTCTGTAACTATCCAATCACTGAACGTCACTTTCAATCCCTTATTTGCATATGTGGACCTGAGTGAAAACTATCTACAGTATCCCCCTGCTGACCCAGGGTGAGAACTTCAGTACATAACACTCAGCATCCCTTAACAAACTACAGCTCCCAGGATTCTTTGGGGGAAGTTGTACATTTAACCAACATAGTTAAAGCAGCAGAAGTATAAGAAGCAAGGCCAGTACAAGAAAAGCAACTCAGGTAACATATCCAAGGCTTCGGAAACTGGAAATGTTTTTGCCTGGATTAAAAAAGGTCTCAAGTAGGGATTTATTGGGGCATTGTATGCACTGTGCCTTGCAGTTATTTTTTAAAATCATAGTTTAATAATTATTGTAATTGTTGAGAGTGAATTTCTATTTACTTATCATTTGATGATCTTTTGAGAGTTAATTTTATTTCTGTTATAAGAAGGTCTCAGATACAGAATAAATGTTCATAAATGTACAAGGCAAACACATACATAAGTATATGTCAGAGACGTGGCTGAATCGAAAGCCTGGGAAGTGTCTGACTCTGGAGATGAAGGAATGCCAATACAGAGGGAGCCAGAGTCTGACTCTGGAGACAAGGGATTGCAGCCACAGACAGAGCAGGAGTGGGTTAGTTCAGCCCCCTTCATCAAGAGTTCCCAGACTCAGATAGAGCAGCAGACTCGGAAAGATCACAAGCAGAGTGGGGGAGGAGATAGACGGCATTGAGGGGGTTGCTATGCAACCAGGAGGGAGGCAGCATTTAGAGGGCTCTGCGTTTGAGAGCGGGGGGGGGGAGTCCACCCACCTTCTTCCCAAAGCAGAAGAGTTGAAAGGGTTAAAAGAGAGGAAGGACTGGACTTTGACACCCTTCATGCTGCAAAAGGGGCAGAAACTCAGAGTGACCAACTCATAGATAAGAGTGGCAGGCCCAAAACCACTCTCTGGATGTTAATTGTAAATAAACGTACCATAAAACTGCCAGAGACTCATTAATTCTTATCGAAGCTTGCTTGCCTGCCTGAGATCATTACAGTACATAAACCACGTGTCTGAAATAGCACAGGAGAGCAATCCTGAAGCCATTTTGACTCTCCCAAATTGACCTCAAATATTTCTCTGCAAGGAGGAAGGAAACGGGAAAAGCTTTACAATTGTATTTGGACTGTAGGGGCTTACATTTCCCTGCAAAAACAGTCTGGCAAGTATATGTTAAGCTGAGCAAACTATCAATATGTGTAAGAGATTCAGGAACTAAAGTATTTACCATCTCAAAGGAATGGCCAGGCTACCCAGGAAATGCAATCAAGTAAGGCATTATCAGGTATCCTGGCAGACAGGAAAGGGGGTGGAGGGGCCAGGCTTCCCCAGGTGCCATCATGGAGGGGGGTGACAAATTATCAAGGAACAATTACTGCCCTACTAGGGCGGTTCATTAAAAACCTTTTTTTGAAAATGCCTGCTGCAAAGGTCTTATCTTACTACACTAGGGATTATATAACTATATATGAAATTTCATGCATATCAGTTAATATCTTGGCCTTCCTCCACGAAAATAGCTGTTTACTTGGCTGTTTTCCTATGTCGTGAAGGCTGAAATTTCCCCAAGGCTGGATTATTTACTTCTGTGTGCTTGTGTATCTGTGTCTCCCTTGTATCTATTAGGGACTATTCTCTCGCCTTTCCTTTGGTATCTATGCTAATGATTACTTTTAATTTTAGAGAAAGTGTTTAATTTAAAAAGGATCTGTACTATAGAATAACAGTGGTAACAATACAATGAAGACAAGTAAATATTTTGAAGAGGGTAGTCCCAGAGCCCTAGTGCCACCATCTCAAAGAGGATAAAATGGGCGGACTTTGGTACTCTTTTGTCCTCCCCTCCCCCAATGTCTTTCTCTCTATCTGAGCTGGCTCCCTGCCTGTTACTGTTACACGCAGGGAAACCCGTGTGGGGTCCTTCTCTGTGTAAAGTCTTCAAGCTGCCCCTGCGCACACCTGACAAATCTGTGCCATTGTCAAAATTTATATTTTCCACCCACCTCCAGTCTCCGTTGTTCTGAGTCCTGGCTGAGGAGAAAAACAGAAGATGGATGGTCATCGGTCAGGGATGGTCTAGTTGAGATTCCTGCATTGCCCCAGGGGTTTGGCTAGATGACCCTCAGGGGTCCCTTCCAACTCTACAATTCTCTGGTGCAGAGTTTTAGGTACAACTTGGATGCAAGGGGTGCATAGGATTGCAGCCCATCTTATGCACTGTCGGCTCAGGAATAAGTCCCACTGATCATGATGAGACTAGATTGCTGCTGTGCAGTCCTGTTTTTTAAATAAATGTTTTCCTTTTCAGATAATACAGAGCATGGTGAAGTCATAATAAAGAAAACCGTCCCCTTCAGTAGTTTCAGGCACTACTACAGGTTCCACATAATATCTGTACTGCATTGTTGACTGTGACAGCACCTGCACTTTGGAACTCCCCGCCTATTGCAACAAAGCACACGCCTTTGCTAGACTCTTTTCGGGCACCCGCTAAAAGCATTCTTCTTTAGGCAAGCACACCTAGATGCTTAGGAAGTTGAAGTGATTTTAATCTTAATATTTTAGCTTTTGTATGTTTTAAAGCAGGATTGTTAATTTTTCTTGATTTTACTGCTGTGGTGTTTTCTTGTTTTTTGTTTTGGTAAACCACTTTGCAGGTTTTTAAAAATAAATTTTATTATATAAATAAACAATAAATATAAATAAAACAACACAAGCCAAAACACAACCCACCCTGTAGATTTAAGTATCTGTCCATAGTTGCCTACTTGTTATCAGAGGCCCAGAATCCATATTCCTTTGTAAGAAAATATGAAATAACGTAAAACCATTTTTGCAGGCAAAAATAAAAATTAGAAAAAAACAATTGTGTGTGTGGGGGGGGGGGTAGCAAGAAATTTTCTGCACCGGGTACCACCTGACCTTCCCACGCCTCTGATTTTTGGGGGTGGTATAGGGTGGGCAATTTCAAAACTATTTATAGGGGCTTGCACACCATTTTTCTGGGTCTCTCTTACCTCCTTGCAAAGAGGAGAGGGAACTCTGTTGCAACAGAAAAATAAAGATCTGCCTTGCCTCCATCCGTTCATCTTTGACCGATCATGGACTTAGGGGACTCGGTCCCTTGGGGAGTTGGGCAGCAAAAGCCAAACCCCCAATGTTTTCTATAACATTCCCTCAAGGGATTCTGGGCCCTGTAGTTTACCCCTCACAGAGTTACTATTCCCAGCAACCCTTCACAAACCACAGCCACCAAAAGTCTTTGAATTTGTTTCAAAGCTATGACGTGTTCACCATCAACACTTTCAGAGTCTCACCTGGTTTAGATGAAAAGGAGAAAGAGGGCTTAAGTTTCATCAACATGCTGATGACTCGTATTCACTCCAAATCCCCAGACAACTTTGCTCACTGTATTTATATGTGTGGGAGAACTGGGGGCGGCAGTTTTCAGGGAGAGAGAGAGAGAGAGAGAGAGAGAGAGAGAGAGAGAGTTTTGTGGTTGCCATGTGAGAATCAGCCTTGGGAGTGGGGCACAGAGGCATGCCATAACTTTGGGAGAAATGACAGTGCCCTTCGTGACTAGCCCTATATGTCCGCATGCCTCTTCCTTAGCAATCGCTGCCTCCGTTTACGGCAGGTTTATTT